CGGGGGGGGGGGGGGGGGGGGGGGGGGGGGGCCCTGCCTCTGGCTGTCCCTGCCCGGAGCCCCGCCCCCACGTCCGCAACTGCTGCCGTCCCTGCACTGCTCCTCCGAGGAGCTGTCTCCGAGCTAGGCATTCCGCAGAGCACTTCTGCTCTCAGATGGTAACATTTCCACGAGAGTGGCCACATCTGTGTCACTGGTCACTCTGTCCCCAGCTCCTGAAACGGCCTGGTTCAGAGCAGGAGCCCAGGAACCCTGGGAACACACACGCGTGGGGTGAGCGAGGGCACACCCTGCCCTGAGAGGCTTCCCCCCAACTCTTGTGTCGCTCTGGTAACCCCTCGCAGGACAGTTACAGCTACGGACCTCCGACAGATGCCGGAAGCTACGGTAGCTCTGAGAACAAACAGTATTACCTGCCCGCTGCCCGCCAGCCTCAGCTCACGGCCACGGCCTGCCAGCCAGGTGTGTTTCCGCAAGGAGCCACTGGCTTTACAGGGGGCGGGGAGGGGCCCCTGCAAGGTCACACTCCAAACTCTGCAGATCATCAGGAGGGCTGGGAGTCTCGGGCTCTTTTCTCCACTATGCCTGCAAGGCTTGGGTGGGGGTGGGGGTGGGGGTGGGGGAGAGAGGGCGAGAAGGAAAGAGGCAGAACGAAAAGGGGAGCTAACCAGGTTTTTTCCGGGAAGGCTTTTCCCCCCTGGAAGGAGGTGAGTTCTGCTGAGAACCTGGAGTTTCGGGATGGGAGAGCTGGGGGCTCTGGACTTGCAGGCAGTTGTGGCCAGTAGGGGTCTGGGGAGGCCACTGGCACAGTTGCGGGGCAGAGTGGCTCCCGCTGTCCGCCTGCGGGTTGTGGTAAAGGGTGGCTTTGCAGAGAGGTTCTGCTTGCCCTCCAGGGACTAAAGGACCTTCTGTCCAGCCCAGTGGAGGGTACAGCCAAGCGCAGCCCCTACAGCCAGCAGCCACTGCCACGGCAGGGCAGCCAGCCAACGCCCCAGCCTTGAGCTACACCGAGAACTACACCTACCCACTGGCGACCAGCGTTCTGCCCACGGCCTCTGTCTCCCCGATGCCTTCCTATGCCCCGACCTCCTGCAGCCCTGCCTCTGCCCCGGACACGGGTAAGATGCGTTCCTTTGTACCAGCGGGCACAGGCCATGCCTCTCGCAACGTCCTCCAAACCAACCCGTCTCCCTATGTCTGGTTTTTCTCTCTGCTTCCTAGGGCCTGCCTACCCGAGCTATGAAGCAGCGGTGCACTCGGCAATCGGTCCTCCGTGTCCCCTACCACTGCCCCTCCAGCTGCCACCGCCTCCCCAGCTGCCCTTCCCACTCCCCACACCCCCAGGTTCCATGTGGGGCAGCCCCGGAAGCAGTCCCAGGGCCAGCTCTGCCACCAGCAGCCTCTCTGGAAAGCTTCTGGCTCTCCCCAAGGCGTTGAAAGCCAAGGGTGGCCCCAGGGAGCCCCCACTTCACTACTGTGACATCTGTAAGATCAGCTGTGCTGGTCCCCAGGTCAGCTGTCCTCCACACCTGCTGAGCAGGCCCAGAGGACCTTCCGGGGGACCGTGCTGCCCGTCTTAGCCTGGGAGAGCCCCCTTCCCCCACCTGGCTAACCAGACATCAGGGGCATTGCCTGTCCCCAAAGGCCTGTTAGTAAACTAGCAGCGTCAAGTGCACATCAGGTTTGCCTTTCCCGCGTGCTTGTGGAGGGCAGAGGGGCAGGCACGACACTGACTGCTGGTGGCAGGATCGGGGTCTTGGGGCTCCCCTTGCCTGAGTTGGCGGCGGTGGGCAGAGCCCCTTCCTCGGCCTGCGATGGGGCAGGCGCAGCAGACACAGTTCCAAGAGGCGCCTGCGGGTGGCGCGCCTCGCTGCAGGGCCCTGGGTGGACGGAAGCAAGTGTGTGCGCGCGTGTGTGCCCGTTGTCTAAGGGAGATCCCCCAGCCACACTCCCAGATAACCCAGCTCGTCCTCTGGAAAGGTCATCAGACACGAGGGCCCTGCCTTCACAGGAATCACGTGCTAGTTTTGTCTTCTTTCTGAGAGAAAGCTGGAAACTGGAGGGGTGCATAGACCCCAGGATCGCAGGCCATCAGGGTGCGTGGGGAGACCCCGGAAGCCCCCATCCAGCCCCCACTTACCCAGGCGGGCCAGGGCCCTTTGCTATCTCCTGCGTCTCTACAGGCCTCTTGACTGAACCTCATGTACGCTTTTTCTGCCGTGAGACTCGCGCTCGTTAAAGGGAGGTTAGTTTTCTCTGCTCCCATCTCGGCTTCTCTGCGTGACTTTTATGCCGCATCTTGGGATTCTTGGTTCCTCTCACGGGTCCAACACCAGCCTCTCCTAATTCTAGACCCTTCACAACACTGTGTTGCCTGAGTGTGGGACGCTCCCCAGGAAGGGGACACGTGAGTGCTGTGGGGTAGGTTGGAGCCCAGCCCTGTGCTCCCTGTCACCGGAGCAGGTGTCGAGCTGGTCTCCTCGGGGACAGCTGCAGTGACAGGCTTTGCCCGAGCATGTCCCCACGCGTGCAGTGCGCCACAGAAATGTGACCTCTTGTTCCCAGCTTTTTGCTTAGGTCTGTAGCACTCTTCAGATTGGAATTTTTAAATAAATTTTATTTATTTATTTGACAGAGAGAGAGAGATCACAAGTAGGCAGAGAGGCAGGCAGAGAGGGGCCGGGAAGCAGGCTCCCCGCCGAGCAGAGAGCCCGATGGGGGGCTTGATCCCAGGACCCTGAGATCATGACCCGAGCCGAAGGCAGAGGCCTATCCCACTGAGCCACCCAGGCACCCCCAGATTGGAATTTTGACGGAGGACGTTGTAGGTTGCAGGCGGATGTAAGTCATGACTCAGAGACGTCCCTGTGTCCCCAGCCCAGCTTCCCCAGTGGCAGCCAGTCTCCCAGCCAGGGTGTTGACCTTGATCGAGGCTCCTGCTTACCCTCATGTCTGCAGTTTCACTTGTCCCCACGTGCACGTGTGTCTGGTTCTGTGTGCACTTACCCCCCGGGGCGGGCTCCTGCTGCTGCTGCCACCACGCCACCACCACGCCACCACCGCTGGGACCCTGAGACTTTCGAGCACTGACCCACCCACCCCCTGCCCTGTGCCCACTGCGTGCGAGGGTGTCCGTCCCTGGGCTCCCCGTGGCCCCTGGCAGTCCTGGTGCCTGTTCTCGAGGTATCTGTCTAGGTGGCCTCTCTCAGGATGGCCTGGTTGACCGTGTAGCCTCCAGGCCAGCCCTGTGGGGCCAGGGGGAGCCCTTAGAGCTGTAGGAGCACCAGACGGGCCTCTTCCCAATGCGCCCTCTTGGTCTCCCTCTCACACACTGAACACGTGTTGGCGGCGGGGAGTCCCGGGGCAGGAAGACAGTTGCAAACGGTTCCTCTTACTTTGAGCTTAGGACCCTGTGCTGCACATGCCATAGGTTATTTCGTGCCACTCACTGTGGCCTCTGCGTGTCAGGGGAAGGCCTGGGGCACGGAACACAGGACCTGGGACTGGAAATGAGACTGTGGTTGGTCGAAGCCGTGGGGTTTAACGGGTACGCGTGTAGGACGCCGGCTGCCTTACTCGCGACACTAGCGGCAGCTTCCCATTAGCGTCACTGGGTCTATCCTTCCAGGCTTTTCTCTGCCCCATGGGCTTTTACCCGGTATGTGTGTATGTGTGTGTGTGTGTGCACGCGCGTGTGTATTCTGTGGCTTAGGTCAATGTTCAGAAGTTTCCTGAGTTCCAGTAAGTACTGTCTCTGCCCCTGGTCTGCTCCAGAACCAGTCCGTGTCACTGGCCCGTGTCACCATGTTGGCCTGAGTCTTGGCATAGTGAGGGCGCGTGGGTTGAGCTGACCCGCTTGGAGTGTGTTCACTGCAGCTGGCCTCGTCTTGAGGGTTCCTGGAGGGGAGTGTGGGATGCCACTAAGAGCTTGGTCACCTGCCGGATGCCATCCGGTATTTCAGGCATGGCGGTGCAGCCCGCGGGGCCTGTGACGCACGCACCTGCTCTGGGCTGGCCCGCTCCGTGTGTTAGCCGCCTTCTGACAAATGTGCCCCGTGCGATTCAGGTAGCGGATGTCCTCGTGTGGTTTCTGAGGTCAGATCCTGAAAAGCCAGCATTTTCCTTCCAAGGAGCCCCTGAAGCCAAAGCAGCTCACCCATTTCTAGAGGAAAAAGAAACCTTCTGTGGTCCAGGCTGAGCATCTGGCCTGGTGACTGGGTTTAACGCAGGGGCACTCGCGCGTCTGTGTGGCCGGTGATCGGAGCAGGGGGCGGTCTGGGTCTCCCCGTGAGTGAACCGTGCGGGCGCATACACACACACACACACACACACACACACACACACATCTCTCAGACCTCTCTCACTCTGCCTGCAGACCTACCGTGAGCACCTGGAGGGGCAGAAGCACAGAAAGAAAGAGGCGGCCCAGAAGGCGGGCACCCAGGACAGTGGCGGCCCGTGTGGGGTGCAGGGGAGGCCGCGCTGCGGGCTCTGTGCCGTGTCGTGCACAGGGGCAGACGCCTACGCCGCTCACATCAGGGGAGCCAGGCACCAGAAGGTAGGAGCCCTTGGGGCCCGACAGCCGCGAGGGGGCCACCGCCAATGACAGGAAGCTGTTCCTACGGGGCCCCGGGCCATTGCATTCCTCCGAAGGGTGTCCCCCTGCCCCCTGGACCAAGGCGTGGAGCGGCGTGACGGCCTTGTCCCCAGACTGCGGAGAGACCACTCTGGGCCTTGGGCATCTACGTGTTTATAGAAACGAGGGCTCGGGTGTTGATGAGGTCAAACTGCGTGTTCCGTTTGGGGTCTGCTATTCAACAATGATGTCGATCCCGTTCAGTTGCACAGCTCAGCCAGTAAGTTTTCATGTCGATGTTGATAGCAGTGTTTTAATTGACAGGGAGTAATTTAATACCCGTGTTTGTAGTATCGATTACTATTGTAATATGAACATTTTCCTGTGGCCTTGAAAGTGCCTGTATTATGTCAGCTTATGGAGAAACCTGATGGGATTCCCCCGCCTGAGAAACGGTAGGGAGACCCCACCTCTCTGCCCAGGGTCTGCCCTTGCCATGCTCCAGCGGGAACTTTTTTAAAAAGCAACAACCCTTCCCAAATGGTATTGATAACCTGCAAGGTACTGCTTGCTTAAGGGGTGTGTGTTGCCGGCAGGAGGAAAGCCTGGCTGGACACCAGCTTTAAGTCATGTAGTTAACGGAAGAAGGATTAGGAAGGCCCCTGTCTCAGGGCCCCACACAGAACCTGCCACGCTCCCTCCTGCCCCCGGGGCCTTTGCTCCCACCCTCCCCCCTACCCCCAAGCCTTTGCTCCCACCCTCCCCCGTGGCTGGCCCTCCTCCATCTCCCTACTGCAGAGCTGGGCCACCCTCAGATCACCTTCCTAAGGGCCTGTCTTGTCCCCTCCTTCGGCCCAGCCAGAGCAGGCTCTCAAAAGCCTGAGCGAACTCAGGAAGCCCGCAGAGGCGAGAGCAAACGCACAGAGGAGGGGAAGCAAGCAGGAGGAGGAGAAGTGGGGGAAGGGGAGGCCCGGGCCTGGCTATTCAGGGGTGCCGGCAGGAGAGCTGGGACCCAGGAAGCTGGGACCCAGGAAGCGGGGCCGTTCTGGGGGCCGGGGAGAACCTGTGGCCAGCTCTGGGCAGGGGCAGGTCTGGGCTGTGAGTGTCAGAGACTTGGAGCCGGGAGACAGTTCTGAGGCGGTTGTCCGTGAAGATGCTGCCGGCTGTGAGTGCAGTGAATGGGGCCTGGAAGCGGGAAGCATGTTCTAGCAGGAGCGATGCCTGCGTGCGAGCCAAGGGCAGGCTGCTGGGGCCTGGGACTGGACCTGCGCGCTCCCTCCCCGCACGTTGCATCGTCCAGACACCAGGTGCTCTTCCTGCCTCCCCAGGAGGTCTGATTGGGGCCTGGCGGGGGGGGGGGGGGGGGCTGGGTCTATTCCAGGTCTTGAAGCTACACACGAAGTTGGGGAAGCCCATCCCTGCGATAGAACCTGTGCCTGGGGACTCCAGCTCGGCCAAGGCCACCTGCACCAGCCAGCCGGCCCCCCTCACTGCGGAGAGTCCCCCCGCGGGCTCTGCCAAGCCCACAGCCCCTGCCGGTCCCAGCGCGTGCACCCTGACCAAGCCAGCACTGACCAAGAGACCGGCGGCTTTGAAGGCCACGAGTGTGGGTACGTGTCACAGCCCAACGCCACGCCCAGACTCACTCCTCACACTGGGATTTCAAAGAAGCGCTTGTCCCCTTCCCTTGTGGCATGCGTGCTAACCATCACCTCTCTCCAGAGGGCCCAGGCCCTGGATGGAGGCCAGGGGTGGGGGAAGGCAGCCTCTCTCTGCCACATTCCGGCCGCATTTGGGCCATACCCTTAGGAAGCATGGACAGAGCCCGTGGGGCGGTGGTGGCAGGATTCACGCCCTCGTGCTCAGGGTGAACAGAGTGGGCTCTGATGAATTATGTGGGTCTCAGGAAATTGAGGCGGGCTCCTGGGTCCCCCACCTGCGGCCCCACCTCCCCTGGGTGTGTTCTGCCCTGGGGGTGCGGATCGAGTGGCAGCAGCTAGGGCCCATGTAGACTCACACTCCGCCGACTGCTTCGTGGCATTGCCCCTGTTTGCCCTCCGCAACTCTGGAAAGTAGGTTCCCCGTTTGCAGAGGGACAGACAGAGGTGAGGCAAGGTCACGTGCCTGGCGCTGGGCCACCTCACGCACAGTGGACATGGGATTCAGACCCAGGGCTGCCCCAGGCTCTGCTCTCCACCACCGGCTTTGCCCAGGAAAGGGGAAGAGGATTCATTTTAAGTCTCAGTGGCCCTGTGTTTGGAATCACCACATGACACGAACCGCAAACCAAAGAGCGGTGTGGTAACAGAGACCCGTCTCCCCTGGGGAGCCCATGCCAAAAATGCCAAAAGGGGGCTAGCTTGACCATGACTCTGGGTCCAGCTGGAAGAGTGGGGCGGCCACAGGCTGCTCCTCGAGAGGCCTCCCTGTGGACGCGTTCAGACGGGCACCAAAAGCTGCGTGGTGGGCTGGAGCTCTCAGCTGAGACCCAGGCTGGCATGAAAGGGGCCTTTCAGGACTGGGGATACGACCGACAGACGTCACGAGGGACTAAACGGGGAGCGGGAGACCTTGGTTTGCATCTCATTCCACCCTTCATGCGGGCAGACGGGAAGCCGGCCCTGGTTTCTGGCTGGCGCAGGTCGTGAGCAGCCCAGCTCTTCCTTCCAGGGCCTTCCAAGCCGCAGGTGGCGGGCAGCAGGGCCCCAGAGGGCAAACGGGCACACCCCGCAGCAGATGGGCCTGGAGGTCCACCTGCCCGAGGAGACTCTGCAGAAGCTTCTGGAAGCTGTGCCTCGCAGCCAGTGGGCCCAGGCTACTTGGAAGAGGTAACCGTGCCGGGCTTCCGCGGTGCCCCGGGCCGTCCGCGTGCCCCCACCCCCCCTCCGGGCTGTGGTGAGGGACTGCAGCTGGGGTCAGGCTTCAAGACCGCGCCCTGGGTCTCCATCTGAGATGTACGCACCTGTCCACGTGCAGTCCGTGGTGAGCCACAACATCTTACGGAACTCACTGGAAGGTCCAGGCACTGGGTTTTAGATCCTAGAAGGCAGGCCTGAGACACACAGAGACCTGGTATCCCTGGGCATCAGGAGCCCATGTGCGACCTCCGTGGCCACCGCCCTGGAGCCCGGAGCCTGCAAGGCCTGTCTGGAACAGTTTCTAGACCCAGATTTGGAAGCCTTCTCCCCTGGCCGCTTCCCTGCTTCCCGGGCTCCCCTCACTGGCTGAAAGGAAGTGGGCGTGTTAGCACTTCTGGTTGTGTTCAGCCACTTTTACCCCCCCAGATAGGAGCCCCGCCGGGGAAGCCCTGGCATTTTGTAGTTGAGACGATGACAAGGTGCGTGAAAGCCTCAGGGGGCATGGCAGGGCCTGTGATGGCTGCAGCTCATTACGGAGCCGAGGGGGGGCGCTCTGTGGACAGGCGGCAGGTGTCTGCACCCCTGGGTGGGGAGCGGGCTGGAGGATCGGGACAGGACAGTGGCCGAGGGCAGCTGGGGCACTGGAGGGTGTGTTGGTGACATGCCAGCTCCCCCAAAGCCCGCTTGGCAGGCGGGACACCAGCGCGCAGGCCTCCTGGAATGGTCCGGTGTCCCCAAGGGGACGGGGGGTGTGCCCCTGCCCGGGGAACCGGGCGCACTGCGTGGGTGGCGGCCGGCTCAGCAGAGTGCTGTGTCTCAGGTGCGCAACGAGGAAGGCAAGGTGGTCCGGTTCCAGTGCAGCCTGTGCGAGTGCAGTGTCGGGAACGCCACGGCCAGGGACACGCACGTGAGGGGCCGGCGGCACCGGCTGCAGTACAAGGTGTGTGGGCTGGGGTGGGGTCTGACCGCCAGGTTTCCTGCACCCCGTCCCACACCCCTAGCAGGAGCTCCGGGCCCTGGGGGCCTGTCCCCCACGTTCCCTGGAGACCGTGGCAGACCTGTCCCTGGCTGGGATCCCCGTGGCGTCTCTCGGCTCTGGACCCACCTGTTGCCGGAGGGTCCCTAAGCACACGGAACAGGCTCACAGATGCAGCCGAGATGGGGCATGGGGGCGACGGGAGCCTGGGGGCCACAGGTCGTGACCCAGCGGCCCCTGCTGCAGCAGGGTGACCGTCCTCCAGGAACTGTTCCTCCGAGGGGCCCGGGAGATGGGTGCTGAAACCCCTAGCACCAACAGGGCCTTGGCTGGGCTGCTCCACTCCCCACTCGGGGTTGGCTGTGGGCCCTTCGGCCCCGTGGGCTGCACCGGAGGAGGGGCTGAGAGCTTTCTCTCCCGGCCGCTGTCTCACAGGTTCACGGGACAGTGGGATGAGTTGTCGCGTGCACACCCCTCTTCTAGCTACTCCGTTGGGGTGTCACTCACGTGCCACACAGTTCACCCAAATGAAGATTATGGTTTCCTGGCTTTTATTGTGGTGTAAGCACAGAGCTGTGACCCTTAAGTCTCTCTAGTTCCAGAACATTCCATCACCCCAAAGAGAAGCCTCATCCCCATTAGCAGTCACCCCCAGCCCCCACGAGCCCCCTTCCCAGTCCGCAGACCAGTCTGTTCTGGGCGTGTCACCCGCGTGGACTCACACCCCGTGTGGCCTTCTGTGTCTGGTTCCCTCCCTGCGTGTCGTGGGCTCGGGGTCTGTCCCCGGGGGAGCGCATGGGGGCCTTGCTCCTGCTCATGGCCGAGGGACGCTCCTGTGTGTGGGGGACACACTGTGTATTGGTCCGTCCATTGATGGACACGTGGGCCGTTGGCAGGAGCAAAGGCCCCCCAGACAGCACTGTGTTCGGGAACGATGAGGGAAGTACCGTAAACTACGTTTCGCGGGAGAATCTGCGGCGCTGTTGAAAACGCAGATTGCTGGGTCTCACGGCGTTTCCGCTGAGTTAGCTTGATTAGAAATACGAACTTGACGTTGGCTCTGCAGCGACCCATCCGTGGTCAGCGAGGGCGTCCACAGTGGGGCTGGATTTCCTTCTTCCCGGGCTGCTGTGTTGCGGCCGCGCTCCCCGCGGGAGCTCCCTGTTTTGTGGGTCCCTGGAGCATCCAGGCTCTGGGGGATGGAGCCCCGTTGTGGAGTCAGCCGGCAGGAGGTTGTGTGCCGTGGGGGCTCCTGAGGCTCCTGGCACTTGTCGAAATGAAGGTCTCCCGTCTCACAGCCCTTCCTGCCCTTTCCAGAAAAAAGTGAACCCAGACCTTCCCATCGCAGTGAAGCCCAGCCACAGAGCTCGGAAGCTTCTGGAGGCCAGGCTGAGGAAGCAGAGGCAGCTGAGCAGGCAGCGGCTGGAGGAGATGCGGCGCTGGTATGCGGGGAATTAGGCGCACGGGGTCCCTGCCAGGCTGCCCTCACCCTCCGCTCGCTTTTGGGCACGAGGACCCAAGAGCTCGCCCCTGCAGTGTGGGCAGGGGACACCGCCCTCGGGGGAGACGGTAACGCAGGACAGCACAACCCCGCAGCAGTGGGGCAGGGCTCTGGGCTCCCATTCACAGGGAAGCCCCAGGTCTCTGTGCGCCCTGACCCCGGCGTCCCCTGACCACCGACACATTTGTCACGTCTTCCTCCACCCTCTGGAGCAGTTTGAAAGCGTTTCCTGATGCTGTGTCTGATAGACGGAAGATCTGGACAGCGTCTGAGCTGGGGAACAAAGCTCAGGACAGACCCGGGGCTGCAGTCACCCCCTCCTTCCCCACCTGTTGCCCTTGGCCTCTGTCCTCCCAGCCCGCCTCGGCTCAGTCTCCCTGGGCCTTGGCAGGCGTTGGGGCAGGCCCCGCCTGTGTCATGGGCCCTGGGAGCCCCATCAGGTGGCGACAGCCCTCTCTGGTGGTCCTGGAGCCCCAGCCTCGCTCAGGCCCTGGAAGAGGCACGCTTGTGATGCGGCAAGCCCAGTGGTCCCACAGCCGCTTCGAGCAGCTTTTCCCCCTGGGTCCCTGCAGGCGCCAGGAGCTGTGCAGGAGGCGACTGGAGGAGGGGCCTCAGGCCCCCGATGAGCAGCCTGGACCCTCTTCGCCCGACCAGCACTCTCCTTCCCTCGCCAGCAGGCCGGGGGCACCGCCCGGCTCACCTCTGGTGGGTGGTGGCCTTGTCCTCATGCCAGAATGCCTCCCACTGTGGAGGCCCCGCGCGCCGGCAGCCTTCTCAGACCCTCCCTAGAAGGAACTGAATCCCGGACTCCTCCAGGAGCGAGGAGCACAACTCTGAGCCACGGCCCCCGAGAGGCGCCCAGGGGTGGGAGCTGGCAGGGCCTGAGGGTCACAGCCCAGCCCAGTCACTGGTCACCAGCAGGAACCCCAGGCCCAGGGCTCATCACCGGCCACTGGAGTTCCCTTGGCTCCCAGGCCCAGGTCACTTCCCTCCGGAGCCCTTGGCCTCTGTCCGTGCAGGCTGGGCCCGGACTGGATGGGAGCCTCCTGTTCCCACCTTGCTGGGGGGAGGCACCCCGCTGAGTTGGCTGCAAAGCCTCTGGCTCCGAAATGGAAGGACATCACCAAAGGGGAGCCCACAGACCCCACACAGTCCCACATCCTCGCCAGTTCACCGCCTCATGGGTCCCCATCCTTCCTTCGCCTGGCTCTCTGCTGCCCCTTGCCTGTCACCCCCAAAGCCAGCCTGACTCTGGAGGCTCTCCAGGGCCCCCTGCTGCATGTGCCATGCCTCAGCGGGGCTGACGTTCACCTTGTCCCCTGCGCGCCCGGGGCCTCGCCGCCTGCTCATGACCAGCCCGTCTTTCCTTGCAGTCCGCACGGCGGCCGGAGTCCAGCGATGACCGGCACGTCCTGTGGAAGCACGCGGCCATCTACCCCACGGAGGAGGAGCTCCTGGCCGTGCAGAAGGCCGTCTCCCACTCGGAGCGCGCCCTCAAGCTGGTGTCCGACGCGCTGGCTGAGGAGAACTCCGGAAGCCCAGTGCACGCGGGCGGTGAGCACAGGTAGTGGGGGGTCACTCTCCATTCCCCAGGCCCCGGGCCGACTGAGCGGGGCAGGGAGGTCCCCCGGGTGGAGGGTTGGGGTTCTGGACAGGACATGGCTGGCAGGGGGGCCAGACGCCTCACTCTGATTGGCTTTGAGCTCTCCGAGGTCCCTGGGACTTCCCAGCCTGCGGGCAGAACTTTCCCCAAATGGACACTTCCTATCGAAGGTGCATCTAGAGATGTTCCTCATGAAGGGGGAATTAGTCTGTTTCTCATCTGTGAAAGGGAGACCGAGGGTGATTCTGACCCGTCCTCTTCTTCTGAGGGTCGGTGAGGTCCCCAAGCGGGAGAGCCCCCGAGCGCCTGCGTGAGTCACTGTTACAGTCGCTGTGGCAGTGGGGCACGGAGGCCTCTCTATCTGGGATCTGGACGGAGTCCGTCTTCCAAGTCCTTTCTCTCTGGGTGGCCGCCCTTTTATGATGCTCGAACACACCGTGCAGCTTACGTCTCAGCCACGCTGGCGGGGACCGTTCCGGGAGCACGGATGACCTTGTGCGCCCATCACCCCGGTCGGCCTCCGCAGCTGGTGGAGATCTGTCCTGTTAAAGTCTGTGCGTCCCCGCCCCTGCCTGGCACCCCCACCCCGCACTGCCTGTCCCCAGGGCTCCACCCATGCTGGACACCGCACGCGTAGGCCAGAGGGGTCCTGCAGCGTCCTTCCTTTTGCATCTGGTTGGTGCCACTCAGTTCCTTCTTGTTAGCACAGTGTCTGCACCCTGGGGGAGCGCACACGTGTCCTCGCGAGTGAGCTCCCCTGGCCTTCTCTGGGAGAGGGCCCCTCCTCCACCCACGTGGTCATAGAAGCAGGGGTGCGCCCAGCCCCCCACCGGCATCCTCACGCAAGGTGGCAGGGTCCCGTTCCAGCTTGACGTGGGTGTTGTGTGTGCACGCCCATGGCGCTCAGCCCAGCCCCTGCAGACTCGTGCCGTCTCGTGACCACAGATCGGCCTCCACAAGGTGCGTCCCAGAGCTGCCCCTTCACGGCCCCACACTCCCCCTCCCCAAAACCTCGCACATGCCGTGTGCTCGGAAAAACAAAACCGGCCTCGTTCCCCCAGCTTTCACGTGACATTTCCGTCCTATCATGTGTGCAGTGGTGGCCCAGAGGCCAGGAGCTGGCCCCAGAGAGTGCGGGTCCCATTTTGACATAAGAGAACCGTGGCGCTGTCACACTTGAGCAGCAGTCCTGCACCGGCGCCAGGAAAGCAGGTTCCCACAGAGATCAGACTGTGGGTTTGGGGCTCTTTGGTTTCACAGTGGGTGTGAATTGAGATCCAGGTTGATCGATGAGCCTCTGAGTCTTTCGTCTGCAGCCCGCCCCCCACCCCATCCCCTGCCCTCTGCCCTCTCTGGTCCTTGCTCCAGTCCAGCCATCTCCCATCGCGTGGTGCCGGTGACCTCCCGGCCCAGTCCTCTGGGGGGGGGCGCTGGGCTCCAGCACACGTAGTCCAGAAGCCGACAAGAAATGTATAAATGGGGGCACCTTGGGGGCTCCCTGGGTTAAGCATCTGAGTCTTGATCATTTCACGGTCGTGAGTTCAAAGCCCACGCTGGGCTCCTCACGTACAGCCTACCTAAAAAGAAAAAAGAAAGAGAAATACATAAATGAATTAAAAAAAAAAAAAAAAACAGCTCCTCCTCTCCCCAGGAGTGTTACAAAGCGAGCAGCAGCCGCTCCTGGAGCCGCGAGATGAATGTGCCCAGGCAGAGGGCCCAGCAAGGGAGAGCCTCATGGGGCTGGAGCACAGGGACCAAGGGAGGCTGGGGGTTGGGTTGGGAGAAGCTGGGGTGTCCCCCACCTCCCCCCTGCAGAGGGGCAGCACCGGGAGGGGCCGTGGGGCAGAGGCGAGCTCAGGCTCCCACTGCGGCAAGCTGGCCTGGGCTTCAGAAGGGCAAGCAGGGGCCCTGGTCAGTGTGCTGTGGGGCACGGCCTGAGGGGAGAGGGCAGGCTCCCAGCCAAGGAGCTGAGGTGCGGGCACAGTGACCTTGGAGATGCTTAGGAGGACACAGAGCCCAGGGCCCCAACTGGCTAAGACCAGTGGGTGGCACCAGCTGGCTGAGACCAGTGGGTGGCACCAGCTGGCTGAGACCAGGGGATGGCCATTGGTGGCCTCCCTCAGAATGCAGATTATCAGGAAGGAGTAAAAACCAGCAGTCCTTACTGGGCACGTGCGACTTGGTAGGCTTGTCCCCAGGGGCACAGGCCCATTTCACAGATGGGGAAACTGAGGCAGAGGCCCCACAAGGAGCCCATGAGCATAGGAGCGGAGGGACCCTGGCGGCGGCCCCTTCTCCCAACCCCTTTCCCCTGTGGGTCTCACACATTTGCGGGCTTGTCTTGACAGTGGTGGCTCCGCCTCCGCACGGGTCCTGAAGGGCGTGATGCGGGTTGGCCTCTTGGCGAAGGGCCTTCTGCTGCGGGGGGACAGGAAGGTGCGGCTGACCCTGCTGTGCTCACAGAAGCCCACGCGCGCCCTGCTGCAGAGAATCTCGGAGCAGCTGCCCCAGCAGCTCCCGGTAAGATCCGCGGGGCCCGGGCGGCCACCAGACAGGATGGCCTTGTTTCCAGGCGATTTGAAGAAACAAGAGATGGGCTGTTGGACCCAGACTGGGTTGTTTTTATAGAAAAGTTGACGAGATAGCGAACTCCGGCGTTCCTTTATAAAGCGAGTCTAGGGTAAAAGAAAGGAGGAAAGTGTCCCGTCACTGCAGATGCCAACTTACCAGTCGTTACATGGGTGAGTGGAGCTGAGCCCGGCCCTGTGAAGACCTGTTTGGGGACCGTGGGAGGGACCTGGGCTCCTCTTCTCTGGACTGTCCTGGGACGATCTCAGCAGAGACGGTGATTGGCCGAGGACCAAGTTTACTGGGGCTGGGGGGGTGGTTCTCCTTCCTGGTGAGTCTTTTTCTGCATCCCCAGAAAATCCAGCACCGGGGCCCGCACAGACCCAAGCCTCCCCCCCAGGGCCCCCACTCTGGTCACGAGCAAGCTGACATCCGATGTGCCACTTATGAAGAAATGGAAATCAGATGCCAAGAAGGAGCACTGGCAGGGACGGGGGTGGGGAGGCACATCAGACAGGATGGGGGGAGCCATGTGTCCTGATAGGAATGGGGCCCTCTAGGTGGGAGCTAGAGACCAGGGGAGGCCTTGAAAGATGGAGGAGCAGTGGTCCATGTAGAAGGACCTGCATTTGTGGGGGCCTGGATTACACCAGGCCTGAAGGCCGTATAGGCAGGTAGGCCTGCATTTCTCAGGGAAGTGGGAAGACAGGAGGGTTTTGAGCAGAGGAGTGACACACCCCCACTTGACTGATTTAAATATTCCTTTTCATGGCTCAGTTGGTTAACCCTCAGACTCTCGATGTTTGTTCAGGTCATGATCTTGGGCTCAGGGGATCAAGCGCCACGACGGGCTCCATGCCCAATGGGGAGACAGCTTGAGGCTCTCTCCCTCTCCCGCCCCCTGCTGCTCCTCCCACCCCCACTCTCGCAGATGAGTGCACCAGCTCTTTATTTATTTGAGAATAAAAATAGATTTAAATAAATCAATAAAAATAGATTTAAATAAATCAATAAAGATCGATTTAAATAAATCAGTAAACACTTGTTTCCTTCGCACCCATGGCACGGTGGTTTCCTGCTAGCTACTGCAGGGCTGTGAGTGTGGCTCAGATGCAGCCTCACAAAGGCAGCCCAGGCTGTGGCTGAGCTGGCAGTGCCCCAAACCCCCAGTGGCGGGAAGCATTTGACCCCAGAGTCTGACTTAGGCAGCCCCATGCTGGCCAGGTGGGGAAAGATGGCTTAGTCGGGGCAGAGAGCATTTCTAGGGGTGTAGAGACAGCTGCCTGGAACTCCACGCAGCTCGGGGGCGCCCTGGCCAGGCATCTCAGAGACTTCAAAACAAGGGGAGGTACGCCATAAGGCCTCTCTGAGCAGTGCGCACTGGACCATGTGCCTTGGTTCTAAAGTCTCCTGGAAGGGCCTGCCTGTGAAGGTGACCCCTGCAGGGTACCCCCAGTGAGGGCCGGGGGCTATGCCTGGGCCCCTGTGGCAGGTGCTGACCAGAGCCAGAGGGGGCCTGGGTCTTGCCTGGAGGCCAGTCGCTGAATGGGTTTTCCCCATTCTCCCCTGCTGTGCCCAAATAATAGCTTGTTCCACTGGCAAAATCACCTTGCTGTTTTCACTTAGCACCTCTAGGGTCCAACCCCCTGTGCATATTTAAGGAGCCTCATTGCGTTATGTGGCTTGAGGCGCCCCTCCGTGTAGTTGGACATTCAGGTCATTTCCAGCGAGCAGGTAACCTTGTACACACGTGAGAGCTTATTCCAGGAGCAGAATTGCTGGCCAAAAGCTTGAGGCCAGATGCTTCTGGTAAATGTTGCCAGGTCAGCCTCCACCAGCAGATTATAGATGGCTGGGTTTGCCAGCCCAGCTGTGCCCAGACTGTTGAGGTCTGTCCTCCCAGGGGACAATGGTACCTCGTTATAGTTTTAATTGGTTCTCTCTTACCATGGGAGAAATTTGTGTTGTTGCATAAAGAAGGTCATTTCTATTTCTTTTCCTCAAGCTACCTGTTATGTCGCACACCAGTTTATTTTTTTAATTGGATTGCTGGCCTTGTTGTTGATCTGTGGGTGTTCTTTACATATGAAGGCCCCTACATACTGGGTTTGTTATCTGTGCGTGTTGCTGTGTAGGTGTGCTCCTGCAGGGTGGGGGTTACATGTAAATCCCTTGCCAGTTCCAGGCCCCCAGCACAGGGCCCAGCACTCGACTATCCTTGCTCGTTTACCTGTGGTTCTCAGCTGGGGTGACACGGACTCAGGTTGCATTCGCCCTTCACAGATGGTGACAGAAGACAAGTATGAGGTCTCCTCTGACTCCGAAGACAACATCATCATTTCCTCCTGCGAGGAGCCTGGAATGAGGGTCTCTGTGTCGGTCACCTCGCCCCTGATGCGGGAGGACCCTTCCATGGAACAAGGTGTGGCCAGGCCTGTCTTCCAAATTTGTCATTCTCGAAGCTTCTTCACGATTGTTTTGTCTAACCTTCTTCTTTAAGTCAGTTCATTTTTGTCACTTAAATTTTTCAAGAGGAGCACCCTTGAACCATTGGTGGAAAAGGTTACCAGTTGTCATAGTTATAAAAAAAAAAAAATACTGGGGATAGAAAAACATCATTAAATTCTAGCTGAAAGCCCCGTTAGGCTTTGCTCAGACACATGAACAAGGGGCACATGGGCAAGTGTGAGTGGTCCAAGGCCGCTGAAGGGGACTGGCCGGAGGGAACCCCCGCTGTGTCCCTCCCCCGTGGGGGTCCAGGGTCCGGCTGGCTGTCATTGGAAGGGAGCTTCGAAAGCCCCTTCTCGCAGACACACCCCTGCTGGCCCCATCGCAGCCTGAAGGAGGGGTTGGTCCGGGACATTTATGCACAAGGGACACTCCGTTCCATCGCCTGACCTCTGTCTGTGATCCAGGGCCTCCTGGAGCAAGGAGATGGGTGTGGGGTAGTGGTAAGAAGGCAGGAGAAGGTCCCGCTCCCAGACTTGGGGCCTTCTCCATCAATGATGACACCTCTTAGAATCTGACCTACTTTCTCCCTTGCCGTGATGCACTTGGAAGTGCCTGGAAACCTGGCTTCATTCATAGCTTCCCACCTGAACCATAACTTGCTCACCACGGGACGGCAGAGGGAGAGGATTTGCAGAGAAATAACTTCTCTGGTCCTTGCAGTGTCCTGGAGGAAAGACAGTCCAGAGCCCTGGACCTTCCAGAGACCCAAGGGCTGGGGCCACACGGCCCAGTGAGGCAGGAGGAGGAGGGGAAAGGGCGCCATGCCCACATGCTCTTTCCTTCTAGAGAGAATGCAGGTGCCTCCGCTGGACCCAGGCGACGTCCTGAGCCTGGAGAAGAGCCTCCAGGCACTGGCTGCCCTCCGCCACGCCAAGTGGTTCCAGGTCAGGGGGTGGGGGCGGTGGCATGGGGGGTCTGCCCTGTTGCTCAGGGGAGTGGACTTGGGGTACAACCAGGAAGGGCAGCCATCTGCACGGCATGTCCCCGGCTGGCCGGCCGGCCTATGTCCCCCTGCCCAGCATGAACCGACACTCATGTCAGGAGCGTGCGCAGAGTCCTCGCTGCTCCGGGGATGGGGCTGTGGCGGCCCCGGATCCACCCGATGGTGGCTACTGCGGGCTCCGAATGGGGCCCGTTCGGTCAGCGTGGGGTCTTTTGGGGAAAGGACTCGGCTCCCAGCTGCCACGTTGGAGGCCAGCCGGCCTGTGCCGCCCCCTCCCCACCAATGAGTCCCTCCTGGGCCTGGCTCACAGCCCTGAGCGTCCGCCCTTGTGCCTGGGGCCCCGTGCACGTGATTCCCTGACCCCACGGTGTACTTCTTCTCTCAAAGGCTCGCGCCAGTGGCCTGCAGCCGTGCGTGATTGTGCTCAGGGTCCTCCGTGACCTCCGCCGGCGTGTGCCCGCCTGGGGGGCCCTGCCACACTGGGTAAGGCAGCACCACGGGCCTCGTTTTGCCCGAGACATGTGCCCCCCGCTTCCCAGGGCTGGGCTGTCCAAGCGCCTGAGCAGCAGCTCCTGTGCCCCCATCCCAGCCTCCGCTCCCTGCCCCGTATGCAGCGGGGACACAGCTCTTGACACCACCCCCTTAGGAACACGAGGTCCATGCTGACACCGAGAGGGGTGGTTTCCCTATAAGTCTAGAAACGCCCCCAAGATCATGCGTGTCCCTGCAGGACCCCTCCAGGCAGGGTGGCTCCCTGGGGGGGGGGGCGCCAGAGCAGCTCGGTGGGTCACTGGGATCCCCAGCTAAATGCACCAGGGTCCCAGAGAGCGATTCTTTTAACCCTTGGGATGCTGGCCCACGGTGTTTTTGTGCCCAGCCCGTCACTGCTGCTCTCACTCTGGTTCAGGTGGGAGGCCAGCTGCCCCGAGAGCTGTCCCCCCAAGTCACGGTGTCTCTCCTGTCCCCAAACTGCCCAGGCCATGGAGCTGCTGGCGGAGAAGGCTCTGAGCAGCGCGTCGGGGCCCCTCAGTCCTGGGGACGGCATGAGGCGTGTCCTGGAGTGTGTAGCCTCAGGGACACTCCTCACAGGTCAGTCCCCCCGGCCGGGGAGCCCAGAGCACAAGAGCATACTCAGGAGCCCCGTTCAAGGCAGACAGGAGGATGGGCGGACAGACCCAGAGGCTCCAGGGGAGGCACGTGGATGCACCCACGGAGGAGAGCGGGGCGCGGGCTGGGGCAGGAGAGGGGCCCGCCCTGGGGCAGCACAGCCCTGGTTCTCGGGGGTCCTCCTGTCCTTTCTGGAGCGCCCCGGGAGTCTTGGCGAAGGAAACGGCCGGGGTAATGCGGATAACGGGCTGTAGGCAGGGGTGTTCATGCCGTGTATTTTCCACCGCCAAGGGGAGACCCCATACCGCCCCGCGGTTGAGATGTTCGATGCAGAAAGGGGGTTTCCAGGTTGTTCCAGTGACGCAGGATGGCAGCAGGTTAAGAGAGTGGAAGCGAAGCAGGGACCCGTCTGTGTGGTCACACAGTGTAAGGGGCGCAGGGATGGACCCCGCAGTCGCGGTAGTCTCTCACGGGCTGCTCTCTCCTTTGCTGTTCCCACTGCCCCTCGCCAAGATGGGCCTGGGCTCCAGGATCCCTGCGAGAGAGACCAGAGGGATGCCCTCGGGGCCATGACATGCCAGCAGCGCGAGGACATCACAGCCAGTGCCCAGGTGGGACAGCGGCCCCGGTGACTCCACAGGAGTGGGCACGGGGGGGTGGCCCCCTGTCCCCCCCTCCCCTCTACAGAGTTGGGCAGCCTGTGGGTGACAGGACTGCTCCTGAGGGCGGGGGAGCCCAGCTCAGGGCCGCACACCCGGGGCCTCGCTGGCTGGGACTTTTCCCCTGTGCCCCCCGAGGCCCCCCTGCCCATGGTGTGCCAACACCCAGCCGTGGCCTCCAGTGTGACTGGTGCCACCAGCCCCGAGAACCCGGCTGTGGGTTCCCTTTTGTTGGCAGGGGTATTAGCTCTCCCAGCCGCCCGGAATCCATAGCGGGCCTGGCGCTTACGACGCGCCCCAAACAGGAAGCGCCAGGTTGTTTGGGATCTGATCCAGGGTTTGGGGTCCCCATAGAGGGGTGGGCAGGGGCTGATGCCCCGAGGGGTGTCCTGGCAGTGTCCTGCCCTCCGCTGACCCCAGGGATCCCCCTACCTCTCTTCCACGGTCGTGGGAAGCGCCCAGAGCCCAGGCAGCGTTGAGGGGTGCCCAGGGGTGGGGGCTGCTGACCGGCTGTCTGCCCCCAGCACGCCCTGCGCTTGCTGGCGTTCCGGCAGATCCACGCGGTCCTGGGCATGGAGCCTCTGCCACCCCCCAGAAGCCGGCCGGGTCCGCGTTTCCGCAAGAGGCTGCGGGAGGCGAGTGCGGCCCCCGAGGGTGACATCCAGAGGAAGCAGGGCCGGCCGGGCCAAGAGGGGCCCGCGTGAGCAGCCTCACCCCTGCATGTGAGTCCCTGGATTCATCCCGATGTTGGAACGTTGTGTTTTCTCCGTGGGTTTCTTTAAAAACACTTGTGTTTCAGTCCTCAGTGAAACCCTGTTATCAGGGCGTGAGAGCCGCGGGGGGACGCCCCCTCCCCACACTGCGGCCCCTGCCTGTGTGGGTTTCCGAAGTGTTTCCTTTGGATCCCGCAGCTGTTCGTGCCCTTGAAATCCTGCCGAAGGGCCTTCTTGGCTGGGGAGGCAGGCCAGGGAGAGCAGGGGGCTGGGGGCACAGCCTGAGGGCACAGCCAGGCCCCCAGCCTAGAGACCCCCCAGCCGCCAGAGGTCTGCAGGGCCTGAGCTGGGTGGTGTTTCTCCCGCTCTTGGACCCTCAGGGAGGGTGCTGGAGCCCAGCGGTGGTAAGGGCGCGGGCTGGGCGCTCCCCTCGCCCCCCAGAGATGTCCGTGACCCACAGCCGGCCCTGACCCCGTACTGACGAGCGCCATCTAACACTGCTGTCTGCCACTTTGCATTCAGGCCTGGGCTCTGCCCTCGTTCCCACTCGGGTGCGGCCGATGAAGGCCCAGGGCTGGGCCTGGTGGGCGTGGGGGCACCCCCAGCCCCCACCCCGATGTGGCCAGACTCCCTCTCTGCTGCGGCGGCGTTTTGTTCAGCTGCCCGGTGACCCTGATGGAGAAAAGCCCATCTGGGCTCTATCGATCCCTTCGGTTCCTTTTCTGTGTTTAGGGGATGGCGGGAGCGTGGCTGCCCGAGAGCTCGCAGGGGCCGGGGGTAAATAAATCATGTCTGTTGGCGTGGACTGTGCGGTCTTCCCTTGGGGTGCAGGTGTCCCTGTGGGGCCCTCCAGCTGCTCCCACAGGGCTCCGAGTAGGGCGCCGCCTCTCTCTCTGGGACTCTGGCCACAGGTGTGAGCAGCAAGGAGAAGTCCGAGGAGCTGGGCTGCCCAGAGGCTGCACCCCGACATGTGGGTCCCTCGGGCCCTCCCCACACCAGTGTGCCCTGGGGACTCCACCCGAGAAGCAGTCATCTCGCACATGCCCCACGGCTGCTCAAGGAACCCATTTTTGCCTGGTCCCAGAAATGAACAGTGGGCCCCTGAGTGGGAAGGTGGGGGGCCCGGAGGGCTTCCTGGAGGAGGAGGTGGTGGTTTAGCTGAGTTGGGGTTGGGGGCTTTCCACCTGCAGGACCCCTACGGAGGTTTCCTTGGAATTTTCCCAAATGCTTATTGCAAACCTCAGGAGGGAGGGGGCGGTTCACACGGGGAGCTTTGGTCCCAGGCTGAGTTGACAGCTTCAAGCCCCCGAGGCGTCCCCAGGCAATGGCACAGGCGACAGGGAGCAGAGAGGAGGAGGCATGGGGAGTGACATGTGTCAGAGCACGGGCTGGTGCACAGACCAGGACTGAGAGACACCAGGACCCCCTTCTCAGAGCGGGGCTGGGGACCATCAGCGCCTCGTGCAGGCGAAGCCCAGCCTTGTACTAACCAGCCGTTATCTGCTGCAAGCCGGAAGCATCCGGCCCCTGTCTAACCACTGCTATCTCCTGGGGAGGGCGGGCCTCTCTCTTCTGCCTCTGGAGCCCTGGGCCTCCTTCCTGGGGGGAGGGGCCCAGCCACCCCTGCCTCCTGTGGGCACTCTGGCAACACCTAGGAGTCAGAGCCAGCCCCTCAGCTGGTCCTGCCCGCAGCCACGGATGGGGCACAGGGGAGGGTCCCAGCCTTCTCCATTTCCTGCAGCAGAGCTTCACTGCACCCACCCCCCTGCGTCTGTCCGTGGCTCTGCCATTCAACCAGCTCCCCAGGCTCACCACCACCACTGGGGAGTCCTCCCGGGTTCCTTTGTGCCCCACTTCCGCCTGCCATCACGGTGACCCATCTGCTGCTTCAATCCTCCGGCAGTAGGAGCTCAGGATAAAACCCCAAATCCTGACAAAGCCCCACAAAATCCCATCTGCCACCCTCTTCCTCCATAACTCCGCTTCAGACCCACCAGCCCCTGCTGTCCTCAGACCAGCCAAACTGTTCTCACCCCAGGGCCTTTGCACATGCTGTTCCCACTACCTGGTAAGCTCTTCCCTGACCTATATGGCCAATGACACACTCCCTTCCCTCGGGTCTCAGCCCAGATGTCGCCTCCTCACAGACTCCTTGAGCACCTCACCCTGTCACATAACCATATTTGTCTTCTGCTCACCACACACCACTGGTTGCAAACCATGCGTTCCCTGCCTTCCCCCAGGGATGGGAACTCTCTGTGGGCAGGGAGTGCATCCACTTCACTCGCTGTGGTATCCCCGGGTCTAGAGCCTACTGAGTACATAGTAGTCACCCAATAAATGTGTTAAATGGTTGAAGCCGTGCTCTGACACCCAGAGAGGAGTCTCACTGTCAGAGGAACGTGCCTCCTGGCTGGGAGGACGCTGTTGCCATCTTACCCCAGGAGGCCGTTGTCATGGTTTGGGCGAGAGGCTTCAGCTAAGGCAGGGGCAACAGGACGAAGGGAAGGGAGGATGGCTTGGCCCCCAGGGCGAGGACTTGGCGGCTGCGACCATCACACCTGCACCTTCGTGGAAAGCCGCGCATCCCCGCTGCTATGACCCGCACGTACTTCCCGGCAGGGGCAGCTCTGGGAATCCCCGTAACCCACGGTTCCGTGGGGAAGACGGAGAGTATCTTCACCACCGAGTGGTCTAAAACCAACCCTGTTGACAGGGAGTTAAATCTTTCCCCCCTAGCAACTCCAAAAAAATAAAAATAAAAATCAAGCAGTTGGTTAGCAAAGCCTTGGGTCCAGATGGATGAAGCGTTTTGGGGGAACGGAGCTCCCTGCAAGCCCGAAGAGGGGTCGCTTCTGATCGTCCCTCTCCAGCCGTCCCCCCACCGGCGGAGGACCCCGGAGCGAGCGCCGCGCGCAGGCGGGCAAGAGACGGGGAGACCTCGGGCTGCGGGCCGCTGGCCGGGAGCCCGGTTGCTAGGAGACGGTGAGTGTGGGAGCGGTGCCGCGGCGGCGTGGGCGGGGCTGCAGCCGGGCCTGGGCGGGCCGCGCAAGACGCAACCGGCCGGGCGCACCTGCCTCCCGGCTCGGAGGGCAGCCGGCAAAGCGCCCCCGAGTCCCGGTCTGAAGCCCCCCCGCTGGCCGAGGCAGCGTCTCCGCAGGCTTGGCCGCTCGGGCTGCCTGGGTGGGTGGGTGGGGCGCCTCCGAGGTCTCTCTGGACGCCTGTGGGCTTGGCTGCCCCGGAGACTTGCCGAGCGGACCGGCCAGAGGACGCGGGTTTCTCCTGCGGTGGAGAAGGCGGCCTGGGCGGGGGTGAGGGGCGAGCCAGTGCCCCGTTTGTCTGCTCAAGTGGCCAGAAAGAAAGCTCTGGGAAATATGAAGGCATTTACAGCGCGATGTCACCGCAGCGATGTCCCCGCAGGCCACAGGGCGCACGTGCCCCACGTGCCCGTCAGCAGATAGAGGGACACACTCGGTACAGTCCACCCAGACTATGGAAGAAAGGAGGGACCCTGACCCCTGCTAAGACGCGGAGGGACCCCGAGGACACGGGGCTCAGCGAGAGGAGTCAGACCCAGAAGGACCCGTCCCGCAGGTCCCCACTCCCAGGAAGGCCCCAGAGGAGTAGCATCCACACAGACAGGAGAGGGTGGGAGCCGGGGCTGGGGCAGGGTGGGGAGTCCGTGATTCACGGGACGGAGTCTCCGTGTGGGGGATGGACAGTTCTGGAAGAGGACGGTGGGGGTGGCTGGGCCGCAGTGTGCGCGAGCTCCCCGCGGCTGAGCCGCGCGCTTGGACGCGGTACGACGGTAAAGACGGTGAGTTTTACATCGGCTTTTGCAGTCGAGAGCTCGAGTGCGCTGGGTTTTCCATTATGCAGAAGGCGACGCTTCAGAACGACGGCAGAGGAGTGACCCGGACCAGTCCGAACACCCAGTGCTTCCTTCCTTCCGGCGTCTCCCACGCTCTTGGGTGCGGGGCGGCTCTCGGTACGGCTGATTCCCGCTGTCCTCCCCTTGACTCTGTCACAACGCAGATTTCTCGGGGGGGTTTCAGTGCGCTCAGATACTTTGTCCGATGTAATACTTCTGCAGACCTTACAACGTAATTTTTAAATTGTGGCAATGACCGCATAACATAAAACTGCTTCATTTCACAGTGTACAATTCAGTGGTTTTTGGCGTTTTTGCAGAGGAGTGCAAGCATCACCACTATCTCATTCCAGAACATTCCGTCACCCAAAAAGAAGCTTCACCCCCATCAGTAGTCACGCCCCACTCCCCTCCCCAGCCCCCTTCCTGTCCGTGGAGTAGCCTGGTCTGGGTGACACACCCCGTGTGGCCTTCTGTGTCTGGTTCCCTCCTTGCCCGTCGTGGGCTCGGGTCCGTCCCCAGGGCAGCGCATGGGGGCCTCGCTCATGTCCGCAGCTGAAACTCCGTGTGTGGCGGCCTACATCTTGTCAGCCCCTCATCTGCTGATGGACGTTTCGGTTGTTTCCACTTTTTTGGCTACTATGATGGGATGTAATTTTTAAAAAAGATTTTACTTATTTATTTGAGAGAGAGAGATGGAAAGGAAGCATGAGCAGGAGGAGCCGGGAGGAAGCAGCTTCCCGCTGAGCAGGGAGCCTGATGCGGGACTTGATCCCAGGACCCTGGGATCATGACCTGAGCCAAAGGCAGACGCTTCACCGACGGAGCCACCCGGGCGTCCCGGAAGAGATGTAATTTTTGACAGATGCGTAGTATTCCACAAAAGGACAGTACCCGAATCTTAGCCACCCTCTACTGGTGGACACTTAGACTGTTGTCAGATTATAAACGACAGCGCGACAAACACGTTCTTGTACAGTTGGGATTCTGCCTCTCCCATAGATATCCCAAAATGGAACTTCTTGATCAAAGGGCACGAGCGCGTGAAGGCATCTGAAACTCCCGTGGGCAACATTACGTTCCCCCAGAGCATTGCCAGTCTCCCTCTCGTTAAATGAAGGAGTCCTGTT